TGTTTTTAGTTATCCTGTACCATTGTAACTTCTGTTCACCATTTCATAACACCTGCCATTTTGCCTACATTGTAACTTCTGTGCCATATTGTAATTCAAACCCCATTTTAAAACGCTTACTCCATTTTGTAAGGGCTTGCTGCAACCTTCATTTTTGCAAACCCTTCTGTAATTTTATTAGTCTAGTTGAGATGTGTGAATGAGGGATGCATGGGTAATAGAATCAACCTCCAGCACCAGCCCGTCCTGATGAAATAAAGTTCAAATACCAACGGCTGAAAAACTAGATAACAGCCCTAACTCAAGCAAAAAGCATCCACCCTAAAAAAAACAACAGAAGGAAAATCAAAGCCAGGTCCCAGGCTGACAGTCACGCCTGCAATTGACGGGTGATCAAGCACCAAACCCAGAGGCGGCCTGACACAGCAAGACCTAGAAACTTTAAATCCAAACTAAACTCCTATAAAAAAGAAAGGGTGAGATGAGAGACTTTGGGTAACGTTCTGCTATCAACATCAAGGAGCATCGGTGCGCGCCCGACAGAGACCCGGCTCCTCCTCGTGCTCAGCTTTCCTGGCCAGTTAGCTGTCACGAGCTCCGATCCCAAGCTGCGAACTCAAACTACAATCAGGACTGGTAACTATCCAGCAGCTGCAGAACATTTTGGGGGGTGTGTGTGTGTGTGTGTGTGTGTGTATGTGTATAAGCATTAAGGTATTTGCTAATAGTTACAAATTAATAATAAATGTGGCATCTTTGTCTTGACCCCCTAAAACGATCCTGTATAAGTTTGTGGGACAACACTAAAAGGGTTACCACTGTACGCCAGGGAGCACATGGGCCGCGGCTGTATAATCCTGCCCCATCCAGCTCTGCCAATGCCCCTCAGTCTTGCCCCACAGCCCCTCAATGGGCTTCCCCCCGCCCCACACATCTATGCCCAGCTCTGCAGAAATGTTTCTAGCATCAGGTGCAGGGCCCGCTCCTGTGCCAGTTGTTAATGGCCCTGGAGCCACGTCTGCCTGTGCCCCACATGGAGGAAGGTTTAGCAATGGCAGGGCCTGCTGAGGGTTAGCAAACTCATGGCACATGTGACCTAAGCCGCATTTAAAGCCAGGCCTTGCAGTGGAATGCCTGGGCCGGAGGCCGGCCAGCCTGGCAAGCTGAGCTCTGTCTAGCGTCAGGGCAAGCCAGGGAACCACAACACCCCTCCACCCCCCAAGCCCTAGACCCAGCCTCTGACAAGGCAGCTATGCCAGCGGGGTGGCATCCTTAGAATCCTCCCAGCTAGCCCGCACGTACCCAAAGGAACCACAGACACCATGGCCAACCGTTTGACCCAGAGTGGGCCCAGGGCGCTTGGCCAGTCTGCAAACCGGGCCCTGTGAGGCTAGGACAGCCCCAGTGCTGCGGGTCAGAGCACTCCCCCCGGCCGAGCTGGGCCACATGCACCTGGCCCGCTGAGCTCTGGGGACAGTCTAGCCCCAGGTCTCCCAAGCAGCGAGGCCGTCACATACAGTGGCTGGCCGACAGGCCCCGTTCTGCTCTCAGCCATGCCCCGGGAACTCCACACAGCCGCAGGGCGACTGGCTTTACACTGGAGCAGCGGAGGTCAGCGTTTGCCCTTTGCTGAAAAGCAGAGGGAGCAAGGGGTTGACCGAGGCGCTGATGAGAACCAGGGTGTCCCGGTCCCACCCTGCACACAACATTCATCGAGCCGCCCCCACCAACAGCCGGAGTCGGCTGCTGAGTGTCCAGGTGACCCCTTGAGGCTGCCAGCTGGGGGGCTCCGCAGAGCCTGGCGCTGGTGTTATTCTCTGATGGAAGAACCTCCCTGCGCTGAGCCGGTGCCTTCGCAGGGCCCCGGGGAGCGACGTTGGGTCTTGCTAAACAAGCGGAGCCTGTGGAGCTGGGGGGAGCAGAGCTGGTCTGTCCCGGTGAGCCGCCAACCCTCTGCTCAAAGCCAGCCAAGAGCGCAGGCTCCTGGGCGGCCTGTTTGTAGGTTGACTTCCCGCCAAGGGAGCTGCATAAACAGGCTGTTTGGAAATGCAGGCGCAGCGCCAGCCCCAGCCCTGGTGACGCTGGACTGCGGCTCAGGCGATGGGTGCCGGGCCGCCCTTCCAGGATGCCGGTGCCGGGGGCACGCAGCGGAGCCGCAGCCTGCTTCAAGGGGGGCCAACAGCAGGCTACACATGCACCTTCTGCAGGCCCGGGCTTTGCGAGCCCCCCTTGGCAGGCCAGCCCAGGACGCAGGCAGTGCGGGAAGGGAGGCGTGTGGGCAAGAGGTGCTGACCCTTGTGTGCCCCTAGTGCCTGGGATGAACCGCACCAATGGCGGGGAAGTCCTGGGAAAGCAGCCGAAGCCTGGGCCGGCCTCAGCAGGGAAGGCGGCCAGGAGAAGGGGCTGTGGCTGAAGCCGGTGCTCAGACCGAGCTAGCTCTTCAGCCACAGCACGCAAAGCTGGTCAGTCGCAATAGCCCCATTTACAGAGGGGGAAACTGAGGCACGGAGACTTCACTACGGTCACCCAGCAGGCCCATGGCAGTGCCAGGAAAAGAACCCAGAGCTCCTGAGTCCCGGGCCAGTGCTCTACTCACTAGGCCACGCTGCTCCCCTAGAGAATTCCCCTTTGCTTTAACAGAGCCCACGGGGGCAGGAGGGTATTTTGACTTGGGGACAGCCCCTGAACGTCAGAGATGTGACACCAGTTTCCAGCCAGGTGGTGCTCTCATTTTGAAGCAAGTCAGCCTATGCCACCTTAAAGCAATGCGTCTCCAGCTGAGCGTTCCCCCTTCACTGGGTCGGTAGCAGTTACACACACACACACACACACACACACACACACACTCTCTCTCTCTCTATTCAACCCAATCCGGCACTGATTCAAACAGACCCATTGCAGTAGATAGCACAGAGCTCTCCGGCCACCCAGCTCTGAAGAGACGCTGCTGCCACCAGCAGTGGTGCAGAAGTAAGGGGGGCAATGCACCATGCCACACCATACCATGCCACCCTTACTTCTGCGCTGCTGGGCACCCGGCCACCATCTGCCGCCTCGTGCCCCTCCCCCAGAATACATTCCGCGCCCCCATCCCCGCCAGTTTGAGAACCTCTGCCCTAAACAGATACTTGTGTCTGGCAACCGGCCGGTGTCCCTGCAAGGCACAGCGTAGGGCACGGGCAGCCTCTGCCAGCAGGGGGCACTGTGCCTCCCAGGGACTCAGCACTCCTCCCAGCCGGGGTGCCGCAGGGGAGCCGTGGGCTGCCGGCCTGCATGCCCAGAAATACTTACTAGACGGAGGTCTTGACGTAGCTGGTGTTGAGCCTGGGCTTGGGGCACTCGGGGCGCACACACCGGTAGCCTCCGAAGACGTTGACACAGAGCTCGCCACGGCTGCAGTTGTGCTGATTGTCGGCGCATTCGTCCACATCTGGCAGAGCAAACAGAATCCCCCAGATCCTGGTGTGAATGCAACTGGTTCCCTTCCACGGTGGGGCCAGGGCCTCGCCCTTCCCCGGCCTACCAAGCTGTGGCCACACACCCTGCCAGTGTCCTTCCTGCCTGGGCTGTTTAGCCCCCGTGTGCTGAGCCAGCCTGCATGGCCAGCCCAGTGTCTGCTCCAGGGGCAGAGATAGGGGCCAGGGGACATTTGCCTCTTCAGGATCAGGCTGGTGCCAAGGCAAGGGGAGCCTGGGTCCCAAGGGGGCACAGGTAACACTAGGCCTGGGTATCCCAGGGGGCTTTGGCAGCAGCCTGGCACTCAGGCAGAGGGGCAGAGATGATCCCAGGGTGGGATGATGCCAAAGAAGGGTCCAGCCCAGGCCCGTGGGCACCCAAAGGGGCTTGAGGCTCGCCACGCGGCTGAGCTGAGTGCGCAGGAGGGCTCTGGGCTGGGTCCCATTTGCAAGCCGTGGTGACCCCGCAGGGAGTGAGGTCTCTCTCCCCTCCCCCGACGCAGGTGCTGCTCACCGGTGCACATGTTCTGGTCTGCGGGGCGCAGGTAGCCCCGGGGGCAGACACAGCGGTAGGAGCCGGGCAGGTTCACACAGTCGTGCACGCAGAGGTGGCTCTGCCAGCTGGCCTGGAAGAGCTGGCACTCGTCAACATCTGGCCGCGGAATAGACAGGGGAGATTCCGGGGAGCGGGGTCAGGAAGAGTGTGACACCCAGACCACCCCCCAACCGTGGGCACTCACAGCCTGGCCGGTGCCGGAAACTCCCCAGCCTCCACCCCACCCTGGGTGCCACACAAGAGCCTCCCCTTGGGTTCCCTGGCTGGGGCTGGCCACGTCCCTGGGCCCCGAGGTGCTGCTGCTGGGCAGGTCCCTCGTTGGGAGGGGCAAGGGCAGAGCTCCTGCCGTGGGGGCCTCGGTGGGGTTAGACACTCCCCAGCCCCGCTGGCAGAGCATGGAGAGGGAGCCATGGTACCTTGGCACACGCCGCCGTCCCGCAGCTGGAAACCGGTGTCACAGGCACAGCGGCGTGAGCCCAGGCGGGTGTCTGCGCAGCGGGGCTGGCGGCTGAAGGACGAGTTGCTCAGCGTCACCCAGTCTGCAGCAGCAGGGAGAGGCGGCTGTTAGCTCCCCCAGTCGGCGTCAGGCGGAGCCCGGCCCGGGGCGTGGCACAGCCCTGGGCACTGTGTGGGGGCCACTCCCAACTCCTGCACCACCCTGCCGGGGGTTGGGCAAGCCTGTCGGCGCCGAGCCGTGGCACTCACTGCTCATGGCACGGCGCCCTGTGAGCGGAACACGGGGCAGCGCCAAAGCCGGGGGCGGATGGACTGGGACAGCCATGGCTGCTGGGGGCAGGGCTCTTCTGGGAGCCCAGGCCTGGCGCTGCAGGCCGGGGGGGGAAACTGGCTGGAAGGACCCTCTATAACCCCACGGCGATTGGCTCCTGCCAGTCTGCTCGTGTCCTGGCCCTCCCTAGCTGGCACCATGGTCACTTGCCATCACAACCACATCCAACGCGCCACACACACACACACACACACACACACACACACTCTTTCCCTGCTCCGTGCGCACACCCCCGCTTCCCTGCACCGTGCGCGCACACACCCTCTTCCCTGCTCTGTGCACCCACACCTCCTCTTCCCTGCACCGTGTGCGCACACGCACACACACACACACACACACACACCCCTTCCCTGCACCATGCACACACAGACACACCCTCCTCTTCCTTGCACTGTGCGTGCACACACACACACACACACACACACAGTCTTCCCTGCACCATGCACACACACCTCTTCCCTGTACCGTGTGAAGAAACACACACAACCCTTCCCTGCACTGTGCACATCCCAACACCCCTCTTCCCTGCACAAACACTTCTTCCCTGCCCCATGCTGTGACGAAGTGGGGATTTTACCTTGTTATGTTGTATGTGAGTCTTACTGTTTTGCATGAATGTTGTGTGTGCCTCAGTTTCCCTGTGCATTGCACCAATGTCTAGGTGGTGGGAATACGGGGGGGTGACTTTTGCGGAGGCTGCTCCAGCTGCCTGCACGGATGCTCTGGCCGCCCCTTCGGAACCTGAGACCCAGGAGGGGGATGCGACCAGGTGACTCTTGGCCTGGGAAGCGAGACATAGGACAGAGGAGAAGCAACGGGCAGGGCAGGGGCCAGGCGGCTGGCAGCGCGTCAGTCTCCGCTGGCTTGTGACGCAGGGGAAGGATCAGAGCCCTGGCTCTGGGCTCCCC